CAGAGCTTTGGAAATCAAGAACAGCAGCTTATTTGCAGGATGAGCAAATTACATCTAGGTCCTCCCGCAAACTGAAGGCAGGACTCTCAAAAAATTTCAGCATCCTGCCTAATCAGGATAAAGTCCCTTTGTTCACATTTGATCAAAATCCTGACCATCAACTGGATGCAAAAAGAAGCATGAAGCCTTTAAATGCTACTGTGCCCACCCAGGAGATGTCAGGAGGCAAAGAAAATGAGCTTCCTGGAGCACAAATGCTCAGTGGCAGCAGCTGTGTTCCCCGGCAGTCTGTCAAAAAGCTTATTGAAACATTCAGTCCTACGGACAACCTTGTAAAAGCTGCACCTCTAAGATCTTTAGGACCAATAAAGTGCATCAGAAAATTTGGACTTCCAGTCGCCCCACCCACCATTCCCTTTCAGAGAGGCCTGGCACCTTTAAATCTTAAGCATCGTATTTCACCGGTAGAAGACGCAAACACTTCAAACACCAATGATGCTTCTTCTAGCTTTCCAAATGCCTTTCCTCCTGCACCACCTGCAGAATTAAGCAAGATGGACATGAAGGAAGAGACTGATGAAGACACTGAGAACCTGCCACCACCACCACCTGAAATGTTAAGGGACACTTCTTCTGAAAACTTATCTGAGCCTGAAGAAACTGCAAGAATAGAAGAAAACTCTTCAGAAGATGCCAAAAAGCCCACCAAAACAGAATTTCATACTAATAAGAGATCACAAGTTTCCCCAAAAATGAAAGCCTCCCTTCAGTCCATTGACTTACTACCAAGTAAAAATATTGGCGGCCCCAGTGCGATGACTAATAAAGGTCTAAAGACTACCAGGTCAGGGGATGAGAAACTGCCAAGGTACTCTCTGGAGCTGAACCCTACCAACGTGCACATCCCCAGCCAGGAGGAGATATTAGAAACCCAGAGAAAAGAGGCTGCGGATTTATACAAGCAAACCCATAAAATTATTCCTCTTCAAAACCCCAGTGGGGTTTCAAAACCACAGAGTGACAGCTCAGAGAGCAAAGAGCCCAATTCACCTGCGACTTCAGTGCTGTCCCAGAAGCACAGCTCTCCAGATTCACTCAGGAGAAATGAAAAAGGCTCACCATTTGCCAGGAGGGTCTCCCCAACGAGAACTCCCCCTTCGTCACCAACTGAGAAACGTATTTTCAGCCCCCCAGCACACCACAGACACTCTCTGCAGGCTTTTAGTAATGTGCAACCAAGCTCACCCACCATGCAAAGGAAGCCCAGTCCTCCCTCTAGTCCCAGGATGCCCAGCCCACCCTCGCAGAAGAAGATGCCCTCTCCGCCAACCCATCGAAAACCCCTCAGCCCTCCTGTGGGGCACAGGCAAAGCTCACCAGCACCACACCGTCTGGGGGGCTCCCCAGCCTCCCGCCGAGATGCAAGCCCCCCTCCATTCCTCACCACTCCCTCCCCCCCAGCCTCCCCATCTCGTTCCTCCAAGGGCCCAAGAGCTGGGCTGGACGCTGGGGACGAGCACCAGCTCCCCTCCTCCAAGAGGGCCAGTAATGTCCGTTCAATATTTTGCCCGGCCACCTCCTCCTTATTTGAAGCCAGACCTCCACTGGCACCCACCAAACCCACTGCTGAAGTGACCAGCCAGCCTGAAGCTTCATCACATTCCCAGAAGAGCAGTCTGCTTTTCCGGCAGCCCGGAGACCGGACCAGAAAGCTGTCCCTGACCACTGCCAACCCTCAGCCGTTTGTAAGGAGAAGTTTCTCTGACCGCCGACCAGGGGTCCAGTTTCATCCTCCAGCTTCTCTAACAGCTGGCAGCGAACCCACACTTCACCAAGCAAGGTAAGAAACTTTCCGCTTCAGACCAGAAAAGCTGATATATAGCACTGCGTCGTCGGCTTTGTAAACTCTCAGTGGGAATTGAGTGTCGTTAAGAGACTTCTCAGAAAAGTTCCCTGTTCATGTGCAGAAGAGATGGCTGGGCAAAGACAGCACTGTAGTTACTAGATCACAGTCAAATATTCTTTTCTATTTTCTCTCAGATTTTAGTAGACTACTAGTCTGAAAAAAAGGGAAGAGTTAACTTTCCATGGCTTGCTCAAGCCTTGCAGTTACACATCGGCTGTGACAGGCACCTCAGGGTAAATTCAGTGTTGGTGACATAGCACAGAACTCTCCTTATTTGTGTGGGGATTGACATTGACATCCAATTCTTAAAAGCTCTGAAGCAACCCTCAGGTTATAGACATAAATATTCATGAGAAGATCAGCTTGGACCAAGAGGAGGGGTATTGTTCTATCATCAGCCTCTAATCCAGTAAACTGTTCAGCTGAAACCCGTGTGAGGATGTTTCAAGATAGCTGGCAAGAATGACAGACAGATAATATGTAGGCAAGGATCTGTGTGGACAGAATTATAGCTTGAAATTTCGAGCTTCTTGTGCACACTTCCAGATCTAGGTGCCGATTTCAGGTCTGATGGGTCCACAGCCCAAGCTCAGTTTTCCAAGTGGAAAAACTCCCATGGCTACGAGGCATTCATTGTTCTGAGAAAGTCAGTTTAAAGAAATCGAAACATCAACACACGTCGATTCCATGTTTGCAACAATTGGTGGTCTTTTTTTAAAAAAAATTGGCTTAGCTTTAAATATTGTCTACCATCTAAAAAAAAAATAAATAAAAATCATAAAGCCATCCAGGAAACAAATGTGTATTTGGGAATACTCAAAGATCAGTGTAACTCAGTGATTAGCCTGGAAGTACAGTGTTGTTATTCTAGTTTCTTAGCATCTTAGGACGTGTAAGTCAATTAAGCTTTAAGCTTCTCTGGTAACCTTTCCTCACATGATCAGTATTTTTGCTCTTGCCACAGAAGAGCTGAAATCACATGAATCATTCCTGTGAGTAGGGATTGGAAGATCAACCCTAACAGGATCAAACTGCACTTGGAGGTGCACAAGCACTCAGTGCATTACAAGCAGGGACAGTCACAGACACTGGACCTCCAGGCATTCCCACCCCAGAGACTGAATAAGGACCAAGCTTCCCACACTGAAGGCAGAGGAATGTGCTGAACAAAGCATGTAAAAAACATTGGGAAATGCAAACTATTTTGCAGTTCCAGTTTTAATATTGCATCATAGTCTGACATTTGAATATTTCCTAAAATTCTTGTACAGTGTTTCCTGGGTTTTCTGTTATTGCTATGTACTGTGTGAAGTCAGCTTTATCTACTCCAGTGCCTGCCAGCAGAAATAAATGTTTTCAAAAGAGGCTTTATGTCAAACCTTGCAATACAAAAGCCCTGGCAGTTTTATGGATCCATTTCAAAATTTGTCTATGGTAAATTGTTAGCTAATTTATGCTTCAATGGGGTGTATTATCTTTCTATCATAGTCTGTCAGAGAACAGTGAATAATATAAAAAAACCCACTGTAAATAAAATCATCCCTTTCATGAAATAAGTCATATATCCCAGTAGTCTGATATGCTAGCATTTTGGAAGAACAAAATATATCCTAAGCCAAATTCATCTTATCATTTATACCAATGAACATCAAAAGTAGTACTACTGAGTTAGGCCAAATTTATATCAACATAAGCAAAAGGGAAATTTAGGCCATTAATTACCATATACACTGATTTAAGATGCAATTCACAACTCCGTGTTTTCTTACAACTAAAATAAGCTGCATGGAGTAACTTTTACAGACCTTGCATTGAATGGCCTAATCTGAATATCACAGCAAATGTGCTGATGGGCAGAGAAGGACTATTTTAGGAATGAACACATGGCAAAAGCTCCGAAAGCTCCTCACATCACTGCTGGTCCTTTCATCCTGCTGAGGACCGGAATAGTTGCCACAGAGGTGAGCACCACATCCCCATGTGCAGATGCTCAGCCCTGCTCTGACAGACAAACCACCACACTCTGTTTCAATTTTCTCCTCCAAGTTCATTAAGCAGCCAGGACTTTCTTTGCTTTGTAATTCATCCAGCTAACGGAGGGAAAATTCAAAATGTCTAAACCTAAACCTAAACCTCCTCATTCTAGCAATATCTGCATCTAGTCTCAAATTCACAAGCCATTCCCACCCAGCTGTCAGTCTCCTTTCCTTCATTCCTTCCCTTGCTCTATCTCTCCGTTCAAAATATAAAACAGTGCCTTTTTTTGGTCTGTGGGGGGGCTTTCTGTGTTATTTTTCTGTGTTACTAGCAGCTTCATTAGCAGAAGAGAGGGGAGACAGAGTCAGAATCTTTTATAGGTAAAACATTTTGAAAATCAGTGGGTTAGCCTGTTTCTCCCCTCCTCACAAACTGTAGGATATATCCCTCCACCTTTCCCATACCAAATTAAAACATCAGTTTGCTGAGAAGTAAATTGCCAAAGATAATCTGGCAAGAGCTTGTACAAGCAACAAGTGGCAGCTCAGTCCCCCCCACCCACACACCCCATTTTAGTAGAAACATGCCAAAAAAAAAAAAAAAGAGGTAACTTCCATCTCATTTTGCCAGCTGGCATTGCTGGGCATTAAATGTTGGCATTGTGCATAGATTTGCATGTTTCCTGCACACTCACTGCTCTCCTAGAAGGCAGAACCCACTCTTTTTCCAAGCATGTCTTCTGCTCGTCCCATGCTCCGAGGAATATCAGGACTTAAAACGTCATCAGCCCTAACTAGGACTGGACCTAGAGCTTTTGGGTTTAGTCTTAGGGGATCTGACAAGAGTTTCAGTTTCAGGTTCTCAAGTCAGTACAGCCTGTTCCTACTTGGACAGCCTGTGGATGGATAGACTGAGCTAACTGTGCTGGTTTCTAAGCTTGGTCATTTGACAGCAATCAGCAGTTATTGACATCTCAGTAAGGCATAACATGTACAGTTGCTCTGCTCACAGAAATTCTGTTAACCTGTAATACTATTTCTGTGTATGCACTTAAACAAAATAGTATTTCATTGGGACTGCTCCTCTCCCAAGAGGTAGAGCAGAAAGAGAAGATTAAATACTGTTGCCTTTAGGATAATGTTCAAAGAGAACTTGAAGATGGATTGGGTTGACTGAATCAGTTCCAAAGCAAGGAGCCCAAGTGAGACCTTCTGCAACTGGGGGATATTTGAATCTGGATTAATTTCACAACTGGACATGTATCCCAAATCTCTTCATTCAGCAGTTCGAAAATAAAGTCCTAGCAGTCAGAACAGGGATGTAATAGCTTGTCTGTAGTTGAAAGCTAGTTCAATTTTGCAGTTTATATACTTAAAATACAGTAATGATTCCCAGGTAGCTCTGAAATATTTCCCCATGTTCAGTTTAAACCACTTTAATTAGCTACAGCAACACAGGACACATTTCAGCACGAAGGCACATAGTGTGAGGTACTCTTGACTAGCTCCACTGCTCTAATCAGTCTTAATACATAAAGTCCTTGAACCCCCAGAGAGTGCCAGTGCAACCTCAGGAACATCATTTGCACATTCTATGTCTCAGTTCTCCTGTCTTCAGTGGCAGATTTATCCTACCAGAATTCCCCCTCCCACAGTCATGCTGGTGTGCTCAGAAATCACTGTAACCACATTAAGCAGACGTATATCAAAGGTAAGACCTTTCCTTTCCTCCAGCAGTCTGGAACAAAACACTTCATTGAAATCTGTCCCTATCTGCAAGAGAACCCAGTTTCACATTGATCCCCTGTTCAACATATAAAATACTTGTTTCCCAAGAGAGGTTTGGGAGAGAGAGAGCAGTATAGTGCATTTGGCACGACAAGAATAAAATCTGGGTGGTGCACATAAAGAGTGTGTATTCAGGAGGAGACAGGGAATGACATAGTAGTGTGGACCATTTTGCTTTGTGGGTTAACATGGTCTAATCAGCACTGTTTTAAAAAGTCACTATTCATTAGCCTCTTAAATTAAGCATCTTTCCTTCCGCAGCTTGGAGGAGAGCCCTAGAAAAGCAAGTGATTGTTGGAACAACTCTTGTGCTCCCGAAATCAAAGACTCCAACAGATCCACTTCCCACCCTGACCTCTACATCGTGGGCCAGGGGCTGCAGAGGGACTGACAGCAGAAGCCCCTTCCAAAGGCAGAGGAATGAGCAAGGCCAGAGGCCCCAGAGGGAAGAAGCAGCCTTACCCAAGACTACAAAATGTGGCTTCATTTTCTCTTGCAAGGAGAATATATGATGGTGTTGCATCAAAACCCCCCAATTGGCCCCAACAATCTAACGAAACACCAGCCAGCTGCTTCTCTTTTCATTCCATGGTTTAACTCAAAGATCTACACGGAACAAAAGAAACACTTTGTAGCCGGGTGAGTCTGAGGCAAATTTAGTTGATAAGGACCAGGCCTGTAGCCAAGTCCTTTTTTTCACTGTTTAGATAGATGAGTTCAAAAACTATCAGAAGGGATCATTATTCCATATGTTATTTATTCAGGAGGCATCACAGTTCGTGTAAAAAGGGGCTGTTGTGACTTTTCTCAGGGGGAGGTAAAACCCTGAACCAATTGAATATTATTGCAAATAACAACAATGGTGTCAGCAAAGCAACATCTGTACATTAGGTATTTATCAATATGCAGGGAGAGAATAAGGTCAAATACAAGTTAAAACAAAATAACCCCTTTTAAAGGAATAAAATTAGGGATCTTACTCACTCAAAAAGGTTTTGATCTTCTAAATCACCCTTGATGATCAGATAATCTTATCACCTCTAGTTTCCAGGGTACAAGGCTTAATCCTGATTAGAGTAGTTTTGCAATAGCCCAATCAAACAACATTATAAATCCTGAGTCATCCAAGGACACATTTGGGTTTTGGTTTGTTTGTTTTTTTTTTTAATTAAAGAAAGCCACCCTAGAAAATCCTGTTCTCCCAAAAAATGTATTATAATTTTTTCTGAGTTATACAGCTTGAGGGTATGTTGTAATTTCACTGAAGAGTCTAGGCAGATTCTTCTTAATAAAAGCACAAGTTATTTACAGTCAATTATTCCTAAGCTTTTACAGCATCCTCTTGAATACAGTTTCAGAAATTACTGGATCTTTCTTACCTAACTAATATATCATCGTGATTAAGTTGCAACTTTTAATTAATGTAGTTTTAGTTTTATTTGACATGTTTTCAGATACAACTTTTGTACCGAATAAGATTCAAGAGGAAAAAGCCCTTTGTATCATATTTTGTTAGGAATAGTTTAATTTTTCCTACAGCTTTCATCATGGTGGTGTCTGGCCATTTCACTTTCACACAGGATTTTTAACTGCCCACCTTCATGAATGGGGAACTGAGGCTCATCTTCTGTTGCATAAGGGACCCCTCTGCATACTAACTCCTGAGTTTTAGTCCAGTGCCTTATTTACAACCGTCTTTCACTAAGTTCAGTGCCATTTTATGTCACAGACACAAGGAAACCTTAATTGTTATGTTTAAGGTGGGGTGTTGAATATAGAGAAGCTCGCAGTGAATAGGTGTTTTGGATGGTCGAGGGTTTGTGACCTTGAGGTGGCAAAGCAGCCACACTCATAGTGAACAGCTGGGAGGTGCCAACTGATCCACCCAGTAATCACACAGGCAGATGCACCATCCCCCTATCAAGTTGGAAAATCACCAGGGAGATACTGCAAAGATCATCAGCAGGGCTAACTCTGCAGGTTAGTCTTCCCTCTCATCAGAAGTGTAGTTCTCTCCCTGCTGCATAAGAATACAAATGCATTTTTGCATGCATTTTAGGCTGGCTTGTTCTGCTGGCTGTAACCACCCAGACAGAAACACACCTGAAACATGACAGCAGAAAACTGGCACTTTGCATGACTAAATGGAGCTTTGTAGATGAACATGGAACAGAGTGGGAGGACAGCTTCTCCTCAGCTACTACAATCGGTTTATCTCTGTATGGCTTCATGCTGAAATTTCCTGGCATCCATAACAGGGAGTTAGAGAAAGTATTTATGTATATCCCCCAGGCACCAAATTCTGTGGAATTTGCATCAGCACATGGGGCAACACTTCACTTCAGCACAACGTGTGCTAGCTGGACATGGAGTCAGCCAAAGCATCTTTCCCCCAAACCAGGCTCCCTTGAGGATGTGGTACATGAGCTGGCATCCTACCACTGCATCTCTCCAGCTTTGACCGAGGCTGTGGTCATCAGGAGGCTCATTGCAAACACAGTCCTACCTAAACACTGCAGCTGCTGCTGAAGGATTCCAGTGCTACCCTGAGGATGCTGCAGCAAACTGAACATTGCTTGCAAGACACAGAGTTTCTCCAGGAATGATCTACAAGGTTGTAACATGAACTCATGATTATGTATAGCTAACAGATTCTCTGTAGTGCAATTAATGCACAGGACTCTTGCAAATCATGTGTTTACCTTCAATCTCTATTGCAAGCATGAAATTAAGAGTAACTATAGTATTCAAGAAATTATAGTTTGGCTCACCAATTTTTGTAAAAAAAAATTTTTTTTTACCATTTTTTTGGTCAACAGCTCCATTTTTCACAAATACAACATTTCTGGAATACAATTGTTTTATAAGACCATACTCAAATTTAACATTTATTTTTTATAGACATAAATAAATCAGAGTTTTTATATATGTGGTATGAGTTTGATTTCTTTTTTATTCTATATGCAACCAGCTTCAATCTTAGCCCCATGTTATACTAGTTATTCCTTCCTAAGTGCACTGAACTATAAAAGGTCCATTTACTTTCTCCTTCCCCACCCCAGCATAAGCTTGTCTTCTTTTGTGTTTTGCTGGTACATCACTTAATTTAGGTTGCATTTTCATTAAGCAAATATGTCTTTTTTTAGGCTACAGGATCCAGCCTGGGCACTGACATAGGTCAGCTGTGCTTCCAAACCTTCCCTGCCCTGATTTAAGCTTGAGCTACCTGGCAATCTTGTACTCAGTTCAGTGGAGCTTCTATGCACAACCACAGCTAACTCGAGCAGGGGGATGTGGCTTTGTCCTGAGGGTTAAAATCAGAGTGCACTGGCTGCAGTGGAGTCAGATTGCAGAGGAGTTGAGCACAGACTGAAGCAGTATCAGTTTCCCAGCCAGGGCTCAGAGCTGCGAAAAGAGCAGCCAACAGCTCTGTGCTGCACTTTATCTGAAGACCTTTAACAAGCTGGCAGCTGCCCTTGTTTCCAGTGACACTGCTCAAATCTCCGACCTTCAAGGGGCCTGTCATTTCAAGCCCTCAGCATCTGAAGATGGTTAGAACACCAAAGCACTGCACACACTCCAGTTGCTTTTTTTGGCTTCAAGAACAACCTCAGAAAGCCTAGAGGAGAGAAGACTGAGGGGAGACCGCAATCTACAGCTTCCTTGTGAGGGGAAGAGGAAGGGCAGGCACTGATCTCTTCTCTGTGGGGACCAGTGACAGAAATCGAGGGAATGGCCTGAAATAGTATCGGGGAGGGGTTAGGTTGAATTATAGAAAAAGGTTCTTCATCCAGAAGGTGGTTGGGCACTGGAACAGGCTCCCCAGGAAAGTGGGCACAGCACCAAGCCTGCCAGAAGCATTTTGACAATGCGCTCAGGCACACGGTGGGATTGTTGGGTCTGTCCTGTGCAGGGCCAGGAGTTGGACTTTGATGATCTTTGTGAGTGCCTTCCAATTCAGAATATTCTGTGGTTCTGTGATTAGCAATATGGCTGAGAATGCTATGCAGGTTATCAATAAACATAGCGTATTACACCATTTGCACTGTCACACCTCTAAACATTCAAGGCATTTCATATTCATTTATGAAGTTTTATCATTAAGAGGAATATTTTGAGAAGCTATCCCCTTTGCTATAAGAAGAGATCACAACACAGAGATAAAGTAAACTGTTCTTACAGTCATGTCTCATCAGTAAGGAACTGCCAGCATCTCCTGAAGAGAAAACCCTCTAGATTAGCAAATCATTAGTTCTTCCACATTAAATATACTCAGTGCTATCATGACTACAGCATGTGGAGATGCATGTAACAGCTATGAACTTGAAACTCAGATTTTGATCTTCCTGGGCAATATCCTATGGGCAAGATCCATAGTACCTGCAGTCTGAATTAGGGGCTCAATTCCATGTTGTCCTCAGGTAAAGGTGAAGGTTAATACAAACTCACAACCGTGTACAGAAGCATATGAAAATTGGGAGCAAATATCTCATGTTTGTATTTCTTGCCCATAGCCCTTTTTGGATGAATAATGAAAATATTAATGTCAAAAAGAAAGATGTGCAGATNACAGTAAATACTCAACAGGACAAGGTGATCAAGACTCAGGACCACATTATCCCTCTTATCCCATTTCCATTCATCTTACATATACCTGCCCTGCACCCATCCTGTTCCACCACCATTAGCACAAAATTACACATCCCCTAATTGTTCTCCACTCACCAACATTCTTAATTTCAAAATCAGGCCTCTTCCTTCTCCTCGTTATGTTCTTTTTCTTTACTAATATACAAACATGTGATTGCATTAAGCAATAGTGTGAGGATTTCTGAAGTTAGACTGTACAGACCCCATCCCTTATCAAGGTTATTTCAAAGAAAAAGGAGCGATAAGCCTATCTTACTCCATATGAATCCCTTCTGCTTTAATAAAGTTTTCCTTGAGGCATAGTTGAGTTGATTGTATAGCAATTAAAGAGAAACTGAAAGCGTTCAGTGTTACAGGCTGTCCTTCATTTATTATAAATACTACTGAACCACTGGCTCCTTAGGATAGGAATGAACCAAAGCTGAAGTCTAAGGATGTTAACAAAGACCCACCCTTCCCTAGAGGAGCAACTGTAAAGCTGTGAACAAAACTTTCCAGGCATTCCAGCAGACACACAAAGATACATAGCAAGGCAGAGATGACTCTGCAGATAAAACCTAAACCAACAAATTCAATAGCTGCTTCGCTTTCAAATGTGACTCTAAGGAGTCAGTCTTACGGGACAATTCCCTTGCAGCTTTAGCCCCTCTTATGATTAATATCAGTTTAATGTCTCTTACATCCAAACTGGAAATCAAACCTGCCAGTACAATACAATGGCTTTATTTTTGAAATGTTTTC